TGGTCAAAACTGCAGCCTTCCAATGCAGCCTTTTGTTTAAAACACTTTCAAGATGCTTTTGCATCTTGTTTTTAATCTGTAAGCTACTTTGAGTCCCATCAGGGGGGAAAGCAGGGTATAAATAAATTAGCAACAACAATTTGCACTATGAAAGCTGTCGTTTTTTTCTATTTTCTGATGTTTCAAATGTTCTATCCCGTATGTTTATTCTTTTCTCTCCTTTTTGTATGCCATTTTGTGAATATAGTGAAAAGTGAGGTAGGGGTGATATGCGAGAGCACAGGGAAGCAGCTTCCACTCATTTCCGTGGGGCTGGTGCAAGAAAAGCGCCTGGCAGGTGGAACTCAATGCACACAGGACAACCAACATGCATTCATAGAGAGACAATGGTTAACTCTCTGTAATCAAATGTTTTAAAACTAATCTAAACCCCAAAGCTTACATGAAGATAAAAAATCCAGTCTTCCTACAAAAAAATATTTTCTCTGCCAGCTGTTAAAACAATGCCATTACAAAATGCTCAGCTGCCCATTTGGTGGAGAAAAACAGAGAATACCAACTGCATAACTCCTGCCTGACTATCATATGACATTTCACCCAAAGACTTGCATAGGAACCTTTCGAGCAGGAGCAGCCAACACAATGCCCTCGTGTTGAGAGGAGTTGTAGTATAACATCTGAAGGGGGACATGTTAGCCATGTCTGTTTTAGAAAATAGGTTTTCCATCTTTTCAGGGAGGTACCCTTAAGCCCTTTGATAGTACAGCCATGACCGGCATCCAACAATATTCCAGCCCACTAACTTGAACTGCCTCCGCAGAAGTCTTCTCATGCTTTTTATGAAGCATCTAGACAACAGCATTGTCAAATCATCATTCAGTAGTTTTTGTGTTGCCCTGCACATTTTCAGACAGTGTGTGAAGATTTCTATTTTTGCAATAAAATGACCCATGCAGACAGTGAGAATATCTAGGAATGGTCACACAACAAAGGAGTGCAGCCAAGGAAGTGTGGGGGAATGAAGAAATATGATCGCCACCTTGGTTCCACAAGGCTGCCTGGCAAGAGCAGCTGCATTGACCCGCTGCGAGGTTTTGGGGTGAGAATAAGAGAAGCTTGCCAACATTTGAATGCTCCCTGAGGAAACTGGATTCCTTCCTGGAAGGAGGAGCAAAGCACAGCACCTCTAGCTCAGCAAAGGGATATAGAGAATAACAGCTACTGTAATTTCATTCATTAGAATTTCCAGGCAATTCCTCCTCCAAGACATGACCCTCTTCAGAAGGCATGGGTGTCTGCTGCAACACCTCTTCCTCCTGAGGTGGTTGCCAGCCTTTGCAGCCAAGTCACTTTCTTTTCTGTCAATAAATCAGTGTAAAGGTTCTCTACAAAAGGGCAGAAGTAGCCTTTCCATATCTACAAGGATAGATTAGCTAATCTTCTTTAGCTAAGACATACATTTTGCATTCTTGCTAGGCATTTTCTTCCAATTGCAGAGTCACTTCTTCCTGGATGGAAAAGTACTACATCCATTCCACTCTCATTTTTGCCACACAATGTTCAACTTTTTGAAAAGCATCTGTCAAGTCACTAACATATTCTTGTGTAAAGTCACTTTTCTGTATCAGTAATGCAGGTTTAGTCAGTTCTTGCTGCTGGATGTTAAGAGTCACCTAGGGAGCTCTGCATATGCCATCTTGGTAGTCAAGATAACCCCACAATTAATTGGTACTAGTTGTAACCATGAGCTCATATATGCTTATATTCACTTGCTTTGATATAGGCAAATTGGCTGCTTTGATGTTATCCTTTTCTGAGGGCTCTTTTTAAAAGAGAGAGATTTGATCAGTGTTTTGCGTTAGTTTTCTTTCTATCTTTTGCTTTTTGGAATTTTTATTAAAATTGGTTGTATTTTATATTGTTTTTAGGTAAACCAGATCCCAGGGAAGGGAAAGGAGATGAGGAAGGTAAGCACCATATTTACTGAAGTCTGAGGTGCCATTGAATCTAATGCACACCTCAGTTTTCAGAACCTTGAAACGAAAAAAGTATATGCTGGCAAATGTAATTGTGCCATTGAATCTAATGCGAACCTTAATTTTTGAAACATAATTTGGCCAAAAAAGGTGAGCATTAGATTCAAGTAAATACGGTAATTACAACATTGATCCGTGTTACTGGAAATGATTTGCATCCGCAAAAAACACCACAGCAAGTCACAAATCTGGGTATCCTGGTATTAAAAACAAACAGGGCTTTCTGGTGTGATCTGTGTATATAATGAAATTGAGGCTAACAACCAAATGAAGATTTTTAGTTGATTAATAATTGGCTTTAACTGAATAAATTTAGGGATGAATTGCAATATTACCAAATCCCCACAATATGGTGCCTTTTTGAGATACTGAAGATAACTTACAATTTGATTTTAAAAAAAAAAGGCTAACACTACCAGAGGAAATTTTTGGAAAACAGTGTTAAATGGAGATATTGAGTTTTCTAAAGCAGCTAATACCTGGGTAACGTTCCTTCATATAAGCAGAATTACGGTACCTATAAGCACACAGGAACCTCTCTGCCATATATGTTTACAAATGCAATAGCTTAGAAAAAGTTCTGGAATTAATTAGCTGTTAGAAATTAACAGCATATTAAATTTCTAATGCACAGAATCAATCAATGATTAAAGCTCAGGGATCCATTGCTAATTATATAATCAAATACTCTCACAATCATGAATTCTGATTTGTATCACTTGAATTCTGAGATTTCCCCCTTTTTCATGTGATGATGTGCTCAGTTTCATTCTACATTATGCTTATCAGGAGTGCCAGCGTGGCCCTGCACCTGTGGGTGCCCAGGGCAGTGGGTGCTGAAATTCATGGGTAATTTTGCGGGTGCTTGGGCACCCAGGGACCAAGGGAGCTGGCACCTATCATGCTTATATTACATAATATAAATGAAAAAAGCTTTAAAGTCATGTTTATTAGCGGAAAAGTTCATATCTACCATAGTACAGTATTTTTTTCCTCTTTTTTCTCTTTTTTCTTTCTCACTTATTTTAAAGTAACCTTAAAATAAAATGTAAACTCAAACCCCACCAGTTTAAATTTGTCTCCACTGATCAACAAACTAAAGCTTTTGTTGATTCACCTAGCAGTAAAAACCAGTTCAGCATCAGCCATGAATGAAATGTTGCTGGATTATCACCCTGTTTCTTCTTAATGCTAACAGTGCAGTCCCATGTGTCTACTCAAAAGTAACCCCATTAAGTTCAACAGGACTTCCTTCCAGGCGAGCATACAGTTGTGGCCTTAGAAATTTTATCATATTATAGAACCATTATTGTATAATCAGTATTGTCACAATCACAGCATTATTAATCAAGGATAGGCTTCAAGCTAACGTGGTTTTATTTAACTTATATTTGTGAATGTTTTTCATAATTGTACAGACCAGTTGCGGGGAGGCTGGCTATCCCATGCATCAGGCTGCAATCCTAACCCAGCCTACTCAGGTGGAAGTACTACCACTGAATTGGGTGAGGCTTACTCCCAGATGGGACGCGACTGCAGTCTCAGTCAAGTGAAATATGGTGGACTGGCACACAAGCCTGTGTCCAGCGTCTGAAGGCTATTGTACTTTACATATAAATTTTATTATTCATCCATGGGATGGAACCATTATTCTGCAATGATATATATCCCATAAATAAATAAATACTTGCAACTATGAAGTTTACAAAACAGCTGATGAAAAATACCTCTCCCACTCACGTTCACTTTTTTAAAAAGTCATGTTTTAACACAATCGGAAATATCAAGGTTGTTTAGTCAGAACTGTGCCAAGCAAATAAAAAGCCTAAACTCAGCTAGAGTTTTTGTAGGATTGCTCACTCTTTACCAAGAACACAGTGCAAGGCTGGAGTCATAACTCACAAAAGGCACAGATGAGATAAATCTTTAAAACAGACTTCTTCAGGGTCCTGTTGAAGTTCAGATTTGTGTTCAGCTCTTCCAATGTGAAGCACTTAACTTAATGCTCTAGGCTTGATTTGATATGGAACTGGTTTTAAAATTGGATCTGAAGTCTATTTGACCACCTTTTTAATAAAAAAAAGTCCGAAATGAGGACATTAAACACCATAATACAGATTTCCCCAGCATGATACTGAGAAGCAAGAGGAAAGGGCATGAACCCACTTTCAAAGACATCAGTGAAAATTTTGCAATGGAAAAGAAAATAGGATGAAGACAAAAGAATTCAGTTCAGCAAAATAAATGTTTGAATAACTACAGATTATGTTTCTGAATTTGACAATGTTAAATAATTTGTTGTTTTGCAAAACAAAAACAAAAAAAACCCCACAGCCTGAAAATGAGATTGTAAAACAGATATTTCACTGGGATGAGGGGGGGGAAGTATGGCAGAGCTCCACGGCCCGCTGAATCTCTGTGCAAACAATAATGAATAAGATAGACCAGTGGTTCCCAGTTAGGCAAGGAGGACCCCCTATTTTTCAAAAGCCAAGGCATGGACCCCCTACTTTTGAAATTTTTGATAACTCTATGGTAGTTACCTCTGCAAAGCATTTTTTTAACAAAATGTGGGGGAGCCCCTAATAAGCAAAGGTTTTTAGGTTTACTAAAAAAACAGACCATAAAATCTGTGATATTACCATGCAAAAATGACCAAAGGGGGAACTGAGATAGACCAACGGTCTGAGTCAGTGGGAGGGAGCTTCCTAATGTTGCTGCTACATAAAACACGCCTTCTTGACTGCAAATATGCAAAACTGCTCCTGCCACATAAAAACTACACGTTGATCCTAATTAGAAGTTCTACTGACACAGTGACCATTAAAATAAATTGAGAGTTGCACAGTAGTTCTGTATCCTAAGTGGTTGATATGGCATAAGCTTTGTAGCAAACAGCTTTTATCAGATGCATGAAGCAGACTGAAAATACACCAGTATCAATACATTGTAAAACAATGCTAATAAAATACAGCCCCTTTTTATTATTTTTTATTTTAGGTAACCAAGTTTTCAAAACTAACAAAAAGTCATTTTTATAAGAAAGGCACCGTTAGTTTCATGTCTGGTTGAGAGAGAAAAAGAAATCATGAATGCTGCATCTGGAGTAAAAGCAGATGGAGCAGAAGTCCTAGCGCTGAATGCAGTCCAGGCGCCCTCCTGCTGCCCCTTCTCTCTTGCCTTGGGATTCATGTACAGGAAAGTGTCACACACTGACATTGACCTCAATGCATGGCATTTGTAGGACCACTCTCAAGAAGCGGTGTTTGCACAGCGGTTCCGAGGGGAATTCACAGGCATTTCCCATCCAGTATTCAAATAATTTAGCTCTCCCCCATTCCCACTTCTTTCCCTCCACATGTGAAGGTCCACATTTTCCGTCAGGAAGAGGCGCTGTTTGGGGTGACTACTTGCTGCAATGGCACCCCAGTCTCGGGTTGTTGGCATTTGTAATCCATCACGGTGGGTAAAGTGCAGTGTTTTTTCACCAAGTAGCACAAAATCGCTACTAACGCTATAACCATCAATGTGGTACTAACAATGATAGCAATCAATACCCCATGGCTTCTGCCAGCATCTTCCTCCTTGGGTGGGATAAAGGAGGGAACTGAGGGTGTGGAATAAGGTTCAGCATCACCAGAGTACTCTGTTTCATCTGGTGGTTCCTTGCACAACTGCCCACCTGGACAGAGACACATATAGCTGCCTGGCACGTTAATGCACTCCAGTTTCTGGCAACTTCCAGAATCACACTCATCAATATCCACGCAGACCTTTGTCCCATCTGGGTCGTCTTGCAAGATAAAGCCATCTGCACAGTAGCAGGTGTCCCCGGTGTGGGGGTCGCACTCAGCTGGGCAGCTGGTCTCATTGCAGAACATCACACACCTATTCGGCATTTGGGGATGGGGCACATAGCCTTCAGAGCAGATGCACCCATACTCTCCCTCGACATCTGCGCATTCGTGCTCGCACATTAACTCCTCGCACTTGCGATTTCTCAGCAGGCACCTGCCCTCGACCAGCTCATAGGCTTCATAGCAGCGGCACTCGAAGCCGCCCTGGGTGTTCACGCACTCCTGCTCGCAAGGGCTCGGCTCGGCCCGGCAGTCGTCCACGTCCAGGCAGCTCCGCCCGTCGGCGCCCAGCGCGTAGCCCACGCTGCACATGCAGAGGGGGGCGCCGGCCGAGGCCACGCAGTGCTGCTGGCAGCCGCCGTTCTCCAGCCGGCAGTCCCAGGCGCCGGGCGCCGCCGAGCCCCACCGCGCCGGGCCGCCCCCGGGCGCGCCGCACTCCAGGCGGGCGTCCAGGCCGGCCACCTCGGCCGCCGTGCCCGGCGGGGCGGCCAGCAGCTCGCTCTCGCGGGCGCCGAAGGGCGTCAGGTAGGAGACGGCGGGCGCGGGCGAGGGGAGCGCCAGCGGGCCGCACGTGCCGGCGGGGTAGCTGTACTCGCAGAGGAAGCCGGCGGCGGCGGCGGCGGCGTCGCAGGCGCGCTCCTCCCAGCTCAGCCGCTCGGTCAGCAGCGCGCACCGGGGGCCGCACGCCGGCGCCGCCGCCTCCGCCCAGGCCTCGTAGTCCGTGCGCTCGTCGCCCGTCACCCAGAGGAAGCCGCGCAGCTGCTTGGCCGGCTCCACGCACGACGAGCCGTCGGGCAGCCGCAGGCCCAGCCACGCGCCGCCCGCGCGGCCGCCCAGCAGCACCGCCGCCGCCTCGGCCGCCACCGTCGAGCGCACCGTCATCAGGTGCCCGCCGCCCGCCGCGCACCCCTCGCTGGCCTGCGCGAAGCTGCGCGCCCCCCAGAACAAGCCGTAGCACACGGCGCCCAGGCACTGCGCGCCCGAAGGGACCGCCGCCGCCCCCCGCGCTGCCTCGGCCGGCCAGCGCCGCCGCCGCCGCCGCCGCCAGCAGGAGCCGGGCGAGGAGCCGCATCCTGGCGGGCGAAGCTTCCCGCCCTCGGCGCGCCGCGCTTATAACGGCCTCCGGGCGGCCAGGGCTGGGTGGGGACGGCGGCTCCGGGAAGGGAAGGGAAACGCCGCCCGTCGGGAGGAAACCTCCCGGGGCCGAGGAGTCACGGGAGGGGGCGGAAGGCGGGGCTCCCGGCTGCGGAGGAAGGGCCGCCCCCGGCTCCCGCTTCCCCGCCGCGCCCGACCCGCCCTCAGCCCAGGGCAGCGCCTCACGGAGACCCCGGGCGCACCCGCGCCGCCAAGGGAACGTCCCGAAGAGACGCCTCATCCCTGGCCGCAGGGAAATGGCCCCACGTGCAGCCCGGAGCTGCAGCGGGGAGTTCCGCGAGGGGCGGCCGCTCAACACGTGTTTGCGTTCCAGTGGGGAGGCGCGCGAGAAAAGTGAGTCTGGCTGCGGGTGGCAGCGCGGACTCGGCTTCTCTTGCCTCCCTATCCACTGCGCCACATGTACAAACTTGGGAGCCATCCACACTTCTTAAGCACAGGCCCCCACTTTCCCAGTCTGTATCTGGGAGTTTTTGTTTGTGTTGTTTTGCCTCGCTGATTTCCAAGCCGAGGTGGATTTAGAGGAGGCCTGACTGGGTTCCCCATACTGTGTGCTGCAGCTGAGGGAGGGCGTTGCAGGGCGTTGCAACTATGGCCTAGGGGATGTTTCCCAACCTTTTTTGGGGCAATAGGCACAACTTTGTTTCATGAAAAAAATCTCAAGGCACACACCATTAGCAAAATGTTTAACAATTAACTCTGTGCCTATATTCGACTACCCTATTTTTTCGCCTATAGGACACACCGGCCCCATAGGACGTACCTAGATTTGGGGGGGAAATAAAGGGAAAAATTATTTCCCCCCCCAGACGCGGGGCTGGGGCGGGAGAAGCCCGAGCTTCCCCGACAGCCAGAATGGGAGCCAGAGTGGCTTCCGAGCTTGCGGACTGGGGGTGGGGAAGCCCGGGCTTCCCCGCCTCAGCCCCAGAAAGGTCCGAGAGCGATGGCAAAGGTGAGCGCACCTTCGCCATCACTCCCAGAGCTTGCGGGGCTGGAGGTGGGGGAAGCCAGAGCTTCCCCCGCCCCCAGCCCCCAGAAAGGGTCCGAGAGCGATGGCGAAGGTGAGCGCACCTTTGCCATTGCTCCCGGAGCTTGCAGGAGCTGGGGGCGGGGGAAGCCGGAGCTTCCCCCGCCCCCAGCCGCCAGAGCAGGTCAGAGAGCGATGGCGAAGGTGTGTGCACCTTCGGCATCGCTCTGGGACCTTGCGCGGGCTGGGGGCGGGGGAAGCCGGAGCTTCTCCCGTCCCCAGCCCGCAGAGCAGGTCAGAGAGCGATGGCGAAGGTGTGCGCACCTTCGCCATCGCTCTGGGACCTTGCGCGGGCTGGGGGCGGGGGAAGCCGGAGCTTCTCCCGTCCCCAGCCCGCAGAGCAGGTCGGAGAGCGATGGCGAAGGTGTGCGCACCTTCGCCATCGCTCTGGGACCTTGTGCGGGCTGGGGGCGGGGGAAGCCGGAGCTTCTCCCGTCCCCAGCCCGCAGAGCAGGTCGGAGAGCGATGGCGATGGTGTGCGCATCTTCGCCATCGCTCTGGGACCTTGCGCGGGCTGGGGGCGGGGGAAGCCGGAGCTTCCCCCCTCCCCAGCCCCCCGAACAGGTCAGAGAGCGATGGCGATGGTGTGCGCACGTTCGCCATCGCTCTCGGGGCTTGGGAGGCTGCGGGCGGGGGAAGCTGGAGCTTTCCCCGACCCCAGCCTCCCGAACGGGTTGGAGAGCGATGGCAAAGGTGCGCGCAGCTTTGGCATCGCTCTGGGCCTAGGGCATGCACAGAACAGAAGGCGAAAGGCAGGGAATACCACAATTTTGGCCTGGCTCAGAGGCACCACTGGAATTTGAAAGATCAGGTCTGCCCCTGTCCCCTGGAAAACCTCTTTAACACTGAATAAGAACAAAGGGCAATTCAGTTTTTACATGGATTGCTGTTTGTTTTGATTCAGCAGCAAAGAATGGGGTTTTGTGGGGAAAGGCCAGGCAAAAGAAAAAAGTGCTTGGACAGGGAAAGGCAGCACAAAGGCAAGTTTGGATGAGCCAATATACAACATCAGGTCTTGCTTGTATATTTATGTGTGCATGCTCTCAACAGAGGTTACCTCTCCTGTCCACTAGGGAGGTTCTGCTGCTGCTGCTTTTAATCTCTTAAAACGGTGTTCTGACTTCTGAAGCAGTGAGTGGACCGATCATAGCACTTTCCTTTTCAAAAAGGCTGCTTAACAGAATGGATTTGGTTGTACTTCATATATCTCTGTCTCTCGAAACATGACCAGGAACAGCATTTGAGACAGGGCACAGGCCATGAGGCAGCCATAGCACAAGAACTAGGCAATATTACTATTCCCAATTTTCCGGTGGGATGGGATAGAACATGCCTTGCCAAAGGCCATCTTCTGAGTTCATGACAGAACAGGTTTGGTACTGGGGGGGGGAGATCAGTCTCCTTGCTGCCGTATAACACCAGCTCACTCAGGTCAGTTATGGGAAATGTAAAGGTAAAGGGACCCCTGACCATTAGGTCCAGTTGTGGCCAACTCTGGGGTTGCAGCGCTCATCTCGCTTTACTGGCCGAGGGAGCCGGCGTACAGCTTCCGGGTCATGTGGCCAGCATGACTAAGCCGCTTCTGGCGAACTAGAGCAGCGCACGGAAACACCGTTTACCTTCCCGCCGGAGAGGTACCTGTTGATCTACTTGCACTTTGACGTGCTTTCAAACTGCTAGGTTGGCAGGAGCAGGGACCGAGCAACAGGAGCTCACCCCGTCGCGGGGATTCGAACCACCGACCTTCTGATTGGCAAGTCCTAGGCTCTGTGGTTTAACCCACAGCACCACCTCCGTCCCATGGGAAATATATGGAAGTGCAAAAGAAAGAAACTTAGGAAATTGCCACCACCTTCCAGAGTGGCCCCTGCCTCCCCCCATCTGCCATCACAGGGGCATCTGTAGGACCACCTTGCCCTGGGAAATGGAGAAGAAGCAGTAACAGATTTTTCTTAAGGTGTCTTTTCCATTTTCCTGTAACTTTTTTTTTAAAAAAGAAGATGCTTATTCTTGTAATAACCTTGCATGAACCACTTTGTAAGGTCTGTCTGAAAAGCAGTATATAGATACTATAAATATATCACTCATTCATTCAGCTTATAACCCACTTTTATTTCCCCAGTGGAAATGCACAGTGCCAAACTGCATCCATCAACAAGAACATTGCAGTGGAACTCATAAAATCGCTTTGGATCTTGCTGGCTCAGCTCCCTTGCATTAACCACGAGCGGTTCTGCATGGAAGAGGCTGCCGGCTGGTCCCTGCTTTCCCACTTCCATGGGGAGCTGATGGAAGAGTAAACAACAGAGATGACCCTGAGCTGGAATCTCATCAATCACTTTCCTGGCCTGTTACTAAGGAAGGACCTTGGCCATTTTGCAATGACTTCCCAGCAGCAGCCAAGACTCTTGTGGGAACAGGAAGTAGAGAAGTAGATATATTTGGGGTGACAGTGAGGGAGGGGTCCTGGAATGCAGCTCCTAGTAACAGCTGGTAGTGACTCCCCACAGAAGACACAGAAACAAGGATTCCCGGGGTGCGGGTGGGGAGTCATGTGCGTTAAATGTACGAAATGTTAAAGACTGTCACAGCGGCATTTTAAGAAATGGGATGTAGAGTCATTTGCATCTTAACCATGGAAAATTGGTGGTTAGCATCCTGTGTTCCCTTTTCAGTAGTTTTGAAAAGGGAGTCCAGAGAGGATAAGGCTATCAATAGCTATTACTCATTTTACACCCCCTCCGGGATCTGAGGCTGCATGCTTCCGTGTCCGGCTTGTGGGCTTCGCACAGGCATCTGGGTGTGAGAACAGGATTCTGGCCTGATCCATCAGAGCTCCTCTTATTAGTGAGTGAAGTGCATACGCACCACAGTACAGACCAAGTTCTGGTGCACAAAATAGCTATGTGTCTTTCATTGTCAGATGCAATCTTGTAAAAGGGAATCCAGAGAAATACTTCATCCATTACACAACATTACATTACACATTGTGTTTGTCGTGGTTACGGGGAGTGTTGCCGCGTCAATGTTCATAAAGTATGAAGGGGAAATGTGCATTTCTGAGTGCTCTCCCTGCATGTTTGGGGATGCATATATTCATTCGCACATAGAATCACAGGATTGTAAAGTTGGAAGGGGTCACAAGGGTCATCTGGTAAAACCCCTGGCAATGCAGGAATCATTTGCCTAACGACCCTGAGATTAAGAGTCTCAAGATCTAGGGGGTATTACATGTGTACAAATTACAGCAAGCATCAGGGGAGTTGCAACAAACATAATTGCTGCCTGAAGTAACACTTTCAAGAGAAAGTCTTGCACAATACATCCACTTGGCTTCATGTTGGCTCTTAATGCTGCAGCTGTTGGCTGTGATATTAATGCTAAATGTAACCCCCCCCCTCACCCGGTGTTTCTCATTGCCAGAGCCGCAGCAGCAGCAGCAGCAGCTGTAGAGCTTGTCACATTTGCCCTCAGTCCCCTCTTGTGCAATGGCAGAGATGCTTATTTGCCTCCCAAGATGCCTCATGGCACCCTCTGAGTAAATGGTGCTTTTTGTAAGATGGTGTTCATAGGAGCATGACACTCTCAGTAGGAGAAACAGCTGCCTGCGTCAGTTTGTAGACCTTTAGAAAGAAAAAGAATTTTGAAGTTTCGGAATCCCCCCTCCGTCTCCAAGGGTGAGGTGGTCTGGAGTGATTCAGAGGAGCTGCAAGGACTGCCAAGGAGCGAGCGCTCCTCCCAAAAGCGCAGGCTAGCAGTCAACACCCGAGAGGGAACTGGCATCTCACCAGGACAGAGAGCAGTGCTGGTAGATAAATTGCTGAATAATCCCATGGCACAT